AAACTCACATTTAATTGCTTTATGATGTCAAAGCTGAAAAGCAACCATAGACATCTGGGAGCATGAAAATTCGAAAAACAAAGTCTTAATATGTTGTTGGTAACTTCAGACTTAAGCACATACAGGTTTTTGAGTCTATATTTTCAACTGAGTTGCTTTTATTTGTTTCAGTCCTCAGTAGAAACCTCAGTAGAAAGGATGTCTCTTATTAATCAGCATATATCTTTACTGGGAAAGTGGAGTGAAAACTCTCTTCCAAAATTTTCTATTATATCGATCATTATACATGTATATGTAGCTTTGTATCCATAACTTCTCTGTAAGTCTGTATGTGGCCATGGCACTACTAATGCCATTCTGATTCTGTTTAACTTTCTTGAAAATAAGAATTTTCCTGTGGGCAGACATTTTAAATGTCAGGTGCATTTTGGTGACTTTTTTTTTTTTCTTCTCCACTGTTTCATCTTGACAATGGTTGGAAACTAAAATATAATGTTCCTCTCACTTTGAGAAAAAAAGTTTAAAGAACGTTTTAGCAGTTTCAATACTTTACTGCTTTTCTGCTCTTTTCTGAACTGATTTTTCTTTAAAGAGCTTTTCTACCTTTGATACTCTGTTAGGTCACCTTGTTATATTAATGACTGTGGAAGGAATCCTTTAAAAAAGGAACCATTGCACTATATAACAGCAGATATGGAATCTCTACCTTCTCAATATCTCCAAAATTAGAATAATTTCCCTTAGCAGCATATGGTCTCATCATAACAACACTTCCTTTTATGTTGTTTTTTGTTGCTTACTAAGATCCTATGTAAGATGTATATGAGCAACACTTTGGAACATACAAGAATCGATATAAAAACAGATATTTTTTTCTTTGGAGAAAAGAAGTTGTAGACTCATTAGTTTCAAATGAATTAAATTGCTGTCTGCTCTGATTATATCTATTAACAACATATTTTATTTCACTTACAGTAAACAATCTGTCGAAGCCAGAGAGTTTAAATTCTGGACTGTGTAAATGATGAAGTATTGTCATCAAGATAGCTATATTCATATATTGATGCACACTTAGGGACAAGTCATAACACTTTGATTTTACCTTGATGGTCTTGATGCATCAGAAACTGCATGAATCTGATTATTCTGCTGAGTTTTGTCTAGTGTTACAAATGGTTGCAAATCCTTATTGTACTTTTTGAATACTTTGTCTTCCTTAAAATATATATAAACAACCTTGTAAAAGGTTACATATGTGAAACCTGATCTTCCTTTAATCAATATTCTCTAGAAAATGTACTAACTGGGCCATAGAATATATCGTAGACAATTTTAAATGTTCTGCATTCATTTAATTCCTCGTATAGCTCTATTGATTTCTGTTAGGATGAATCTCACACGCTCAATCCAACTGCAGTGTGATTAATTGGTAAAAGAGAATAGCAGAAAACTCATTAGAGACCTGATCCTGCTTATTCATTATGTGAATTGTATCAGTTTACCTGGAGCATTATTGGTTTCCATGAGACCATATAGCACAATGGTCTGCATGTGTGTGGACCCATTTATAGAAGTAAAAGCCAGAGCAGTTTGTTCTGTGAATAATGACAGAAATCCTAAAGTACCCTAAGGTGTCACACTTGGAGACAAATACAAACCATGGAAACTGCAACTATGAGTATTTTCTGTTTGAGAGCTACTTAAGTGTTTTGAGTGTGTTTAGTTTGACTTCCTATGTAAAACAGTCTTAAAATTTTCTTTTAGTGTTCCATCATCAAGGCCAAGTTGCACCAAATGTATTTCTTTGGTTTAAGAAAACAGATATGCTATCTTTCAAACCATATATATAAACTTTCATTTTTTCATATGAAAAGGATGATGTTCAAATTATTATATATCTAGTTTTTTTTATTATTATTATTATTATCTCTTTTTGCTAGATTACTGTAAATGACCTCGAGACATCAGAGTTTTTGTCCTGCTGTCTTTAGAGACAAGTTAATTTGTTGGCAGTTTACAAAAGGCACATATAAGTAAAAACTTCCTCCTTCTAACAGCATAGAATCATGTATATATTCCAGCCTCTATTTTTTTAAACATCAATTCAATTGCTAAAATCTTGCTGTTTATATACTATATATGTATAAAAGAACACCTCAGCTGGTAGATTAAGGAAACACTAAATTCAATAATGAACACTGAGAATTCTGTGATTAATATGCTGTGTCACACTTGGCAAATATACGTCTGCTTAATTCAGTAAAGTCTTCAGTTCCCATTGGGGATTATTTTATAGTTTTGATCTTGTAATAGTGTCATAATATTGGGGGGAGGAGGAGGGAGGAAAGTTTGTAATACATACGCATTTCACTACTATGTAATAATCAGCCATTTATAATTTACCTATCCTTGTCATGTATCATACAGAAATACAAGAAGGAAGCTTTTACTATTTTTCTTCATGGTGAACTAAAAGTAGCCTTTCTTTTTTATTATTATTTTTATTAACATGCATTTCCTGCTTTGAAGCAACTTTCCCATTACATTGTGTAGTAAATGCCATGCTGCTTAGTCTTGTGCAAGGTAAAATAGTTTTGATACCTTTCTGATACTTACCCTTAAAGCGTTTCACAGAGGTCAATGTAAGGTTTATTCATTACTAGCAGTGTTTGACTTTATCTTCATATTTATGCCAGCCAAAAGGCTTTCTCAGAACACACCCAACAGACCAAGTTTTGTGTAAGATGCTGGGGGCCTAATTCAACAAACTTATAAAAATAGAAAATTTCATGGACCAAACACATGCTCATTTACTAAAAGTACTTTTCAGTTCTTCAATAAACATATAGTCTCACTGCCTAAGATTATATGTATATAATGAATGAGACAAGAAGTCATACTATTGATGAATCTGTTGAAGATGGGTGCTATTTTTCTTGATGTGATAAAATGGAGAAGCAGAGGTTAAATGAACCACCATTAGGGTTATAATCTTCCATGGGCACTGAAAGTGTTTGTGCACTTAATCTTCACCAAACCCTACATCCTATATGTTTGCTTCAGCAAATGCTAAATGATAAATATGTATAATTAAGGCAGACTGAAAACTTTGTTCTTCTCTTACATTTATTTGGATCACTTTTTTTTTTTTTTTTTTTTTTTTTTTTTTGTCATCGTCTAAGCAGCAGGTCTCTGATTTATCACTTTCAGGGAAAATATTTAACCTGTCGCAGCACCTTAACTTTCAGCTGAATCAGACAGATTATATTATACAGATTTATACTGAAGAGCCTTCATAAAGACACAATCACTGTAGCAGGTGCCCTTCTGTGCATGTTCTTAACAATGATAGTAATTGGCACAACATGTCAAAGATGGGGCAGTCCCAGCCTCAGAGAAGAACCGTTATGGACTGACCAGAATCCCTCCCCCCATTACCCAACCCCACTGCCAAGGCAGGGTAGAGGAGTCAGGAATGAAGCAGAAAGTGAGTGAAGTGAAATTGAGACAGGGAAGAAAGGGGATGGTAGAGAAATGGTGTTTTAGATTTTGTATTTATTATTCAACATCCAAGTCTATTTTTAAGTGGTAATAAATTAATTTCTCCCAAGACTGTTTTTCCCATGAGGGCAATTTGTAACTGATCTCCCTGTCTTTATCTCAATCCTTCAGCGTTTCCATTTTATTTTATTTTTGTGTGCTGTTGAAAAGGAGGAGCGAGGGAGCACCTTGGTGAGCACCTGGCAGTCAGCCAAGGTCAGCCCACCACAGATGGTTACGTCATTATATCAAAGGGTTTTATTTTCTGCTCTAATAGAGCATGTATACAAAGTTGTTTGGTCCTTAGAAACCTTGGTGGCAATACATTTTGTTTTTTCTTTGGATTTTTTTTACTTCTTTTTGGAGTTTGCTTTGGCCTGAAGAGGACAGGTATAAATGTTTTGTAAAAATTAAAAAAAAAATAAAATAAAATAGGGAGCTCAATATGCCAACTTTTTTTCTATGTTGTTAAAAGCCTCCCTGAAATATGAATGTCTCTAGATCTTACTACCCAGTGCTCTGCAGCAGATCTCATTCACCTGGATATTTGTGAAGGTTTCTTGGATGTAAATTATTTCAGACAGAATATGTTGACAGTTGAATGAAATTTGGCTTCATCTTGAATGCTTATATAACTCACTTATTGCCAAACTTGTCACAGTGTTTCTTCTGATATATCAGATATATGTCTGTATCTGACATGTTTACCCATATTAAGTTCATTTATATGGATGATGCTCACGCACAACCTCTGAACCAACAGACAGTAACTGTCTTTGAGAGACATGGAGGATGAATGCCTTGAACAGCTTTTTGAAGTGCTTCTCTCTGTAAGCACCTACAGTCCATTTCATGGAAAAATTAGATATCAGTTCAAACCATCACTGAGGTTAGTTTGAGACGACATGCTTGCCTTTGCTTTGAATCGAGCACTTACTGCTAAGAGGTATCTTGCTGCCTCTCAGCTGCTCAATGGCACTGGGTAATTGAGACAGTTCCTAAGTGTGTGATGATCTTCCCTTCACTCTGTACCAGTATAAATTGCCCCTTCCTCATTTCAGCCCAAGCTGCTTCACAGGAAGAGCATCCATGTGACCAGGCACCTCTTCCTCCCCTTCGACAGGCACTAGCAGCTGCTGCTCTTCACAGGTGTCTGGCACATGGTGTTGTGTGGGCCCTCCTCATGTTTGTCACACAAATGGGTGGAGAGAGTCAGAAGAAGCTCATGGAGACATTGACCTACACAGCAAGATCTCAAACTAACAGCAGAGAAGATTTTTCAAACTGGTCTGGTTAGGTTACATTTTTTTAGACAATTTCAATGAAAATCCTAAGATTCTCATGTCAAAATGATACATTTGAGTTATAGCTAGTTATGATACATTTTAAAAATAAGCTCATGTAACAATCACAGCTAGGGAAATGAAACATTTGCAATTATTCCGCCTGTTTTGTTTTGGTTTTGTTATTTTCCTTTTTTTTTTTTTTTTTTCATTTTGATCCATAACAGGATAGCCTTTTTTAAGTCTCAAAATTTGTCAATATGGACACTTAATTTTAAGTGTGTTCTTGGAATTTTGTAAATAAAATTTTTCAATTTCCATATGTTCAAAACTCAAACATTAGTTTTACTTTTCCTCGTAAGTTTTTGCTGTGTCATTTCAAACATCTAGTTCTCATTTAAGACCAAAGAGAACACTAATGAGAACAGAGGTTGAATATACTGGAAAAGATGACATTTCTGGGGGTAGTGTATGAAAATAAGGAACTCAAAAATGCTAGCAAGCCTAAACTTATTCTACATATTCTGTACTGAAATTGACTAGGTCTAATTCCAAAATCATACATATAAGTCTGGAAAACAATCTTTGCAATCAACTTAATAATATCTTTTTCAGTTTATAAAAACACAAAACGCAGTAGAAACACAGACTGATTTAACAAAATAGGCCCATTCCCTGATTCATTTTCTCATGAATCAAAGCTAAAATACATTCCACAAGGCTGCAGTGCCCTCATAATTCACATGAAAAGTCACATTAAATAACAAAACAAAAGAACAAAACACAACATATATTTAGCTTCAAAATACTTACCTATTGGGTAGTTGTTCACTGTACATATTTATTAGTGTTTCATTTTGTTTCAATGGCTTTTACAAAGAAATAATAGACAGAGCTTTTCTCTCCCAGGCTTCCTCCTGTATCCCCAATGGCACTCAGTCAGCTTCCTGCAGCAAAGCTTCCACTCATGCTGTTCCCTTCCATTAGCACCTTAGGGAATACAGAGATGAAGAGATTTGAGTGTTTATCTGGAAGATACACTGAGGGTGCTGTTGAAGCAGTATTTTAGAAACTCACTGGTATATGGCAGTTCATAGGAATTTGAAAAAAAAAAATCCCAACATAACACAGTTTACATAAATTGAAAACTTTCAGAACCATATTTCATTCTGAGGAAATATCTGCTCTTTGTTGCCTCTGTATATATTCTTTAGTAATTATTTTATAGAATTTCTGATAGAGGATATGATGATTTTCTGAATAAGCTGGAAAATATTAACAGACTATTTAAAACCAACAATTGAATAGGAGGAGTTTGGTGAGGCTTGAAACAGTTATGTACTGTGATAAGAAAGGCTTATACTTTTAATATTACCAGTCAACTACCACTTAGGAAATTTAAAGGAAATACTCTTTTAAAGCATCTCCAAGGAAAACAACACACTGTTTTGGGGAGAGGGGGTATGCTTTTAATCTTTCACAACTGAGAGGTTGATTTTAGAGGAAGAGTTAGTCTGTTCTGCAATGAATACAGTCATCCTCCAAAATACTAGTACCAGAATCCTTGGAGAGTGTAGATACCTTTTACACTCCATGCATGAGCTACTTGTGCTATGCATGAGCTGAATCAGGTCCTAAGTGTACTACCTGGGGAAAACAGCCAGTAACTGTTCTCAGAAGTTATGTGTAATTAAGACAACATCTCATGTAATGCTTACCGGGTAAATTCCAATTTATTCATCTTTGAAAGGCCATTACTTTTAATGACAATGTACCATGTAGTCCAAAGTAGCATAGGCATCTTCCTTTAATATTTTTGTACCTTACTGTATTGGAATTCATGGCATCTTTAAAATAAATGAAAACACAGACATCTAATCATTATTTGAAGAAAAACTGATAAAGATGAAGCTGGAAAATTGTCCAGGCCCTAAGATAGCAAAATAGTGTATTATCACTGTCTTTGAGAGGCAGCTGAGAAGATCAGTAAGAAACATAAACATCAACTGCAGAAGCAAACAAAACTTGGACTTCCATTCACTCAAAGCCCTGCATAGTTTTGACTAGACTTTTATCTACTCTGATTTGACTGTTTACTTCAGTCTTCAATGTCATTCAGAATTTCTTTTCCATGTTTGCCCTTTTATCCTTTTTATTGCTGTAACTTTCTCTCATTACCTTTCCCTTCCCTTTCATTCCAGCTTCAACTAACTCTACATATACTTCACCCCTATTAAAAAGTGAATTAAAACACTGTAGCCAGCTATCAGATAATTTATTCTTTTTTTTTCCCCATTCTACCTTTCTTGTTTGAATTGTTTTAGCTCACAGCCTTTTCAGACAGAAGCCCATATATTTCTCTAAGCAAAGAACCTAGCACATTGGGGCTCCATGTTATGTTACAATTCTAAGATGCATGATTAGTATCCATGATAATACTTGGTGTCAGCTTGAATTAAATACAATGCAGTCCATGTTATAAATGAGTCCATGGAGACTCATTTTATATGTGTGCAGGGACAAAACTGCCCTATCACATAGGTACTAGAAAGATGAATGTGTTAGTAATTGAAAACAACTTGTTTCAAAACTAACATTTATGGTTCCATACATATAACACAAAGCATGACTAATTTTTTTTTCTATTTTAACTAAGAGCTGCTTTCTCATATTTGCATACATAAATGAAACTACATTTGAAAGTATAATTTCAGTGTGGACTACATAAAAAATTACATTATCAAGACCTTTCGATAATAAGAGTTGATATAATATCTGTCAGGTGTTATTCTAAACATGTATTTTGTGTTACAGAATTTAGGCATGTAACCAGATTAGATACAAACTAAATCTGTTAGAATCCACAATACAGTAATTCATTAAGGATGTGGATAAAATTCCTAAGAAATGCACAGGAATTTCACCATGGGCTTTCTTTTAATGTGATGCAGTGAATAGTGATATGTTTCCAAATTATACAAGTATCATTAGAAAATTGACAGTAAACTGTGCTTTTATGAAGACTGCATTGTACAAATGATAAAGGCTGAAAAACAAACAAACAAACAAACAAACAACAAAACAAAACACATTATTTGCAATGTAATTAAAAACAAACAGAACAACAGTAGGGTATGTCTGCTTTGCATTTTTTTGTCACGAGACATGGGGGATAAAAGACCTTTCCATCTGATGTGTTTCAGTGGTCTCCATCTAATATAAGAGTATTAGTGGTCACCATCTCTGAAATGGCTTAGCACAGCATTCATGCACAACTAGGCAGTGTATTATTGTACATGATAAGAAGAAGTGATTTTTAAGCAAATGTGAGCCACTGTCTGGGAATGCCTGTAAGAAGGGTGGAATACAGACAGAACAAAACAGGAAATTTTGTTTTCTTTCTAGGTTCTTTGCAGGTACTTCCCCTGTGTTCTAATATCAATGATATGCTGAGTATTTTAATTCGATTTAGTATATCATTATTGGTGGAGGTAAAATAAGGACGCATTAAATTCAAGCTGAGCTATAATGGAAATCCTGTATTCATTATGTATGTATTAAAAATAATCAAGTCCATGATACCACCAAAATAAATCCCAAAGAAATGCAGAAAATTATTGTTAAAATGCTATTTTAAAGTGTTATCAGTTGAGTCATTCTCTGTAACTAGAGATCGCTGTTGTTTTCTTTTCAAAGGCAACCAATCCTTTACCCTTTCCAAAGCAAACACTTAGAAATAAAGTGAACTTTCTCACCTTTCAAAATAGATGCAAGATTATATATATATACACACATATATATTTTATATATATATACATTTATATATATATATATATATATATATTTATTTTTTTTTTTTTTCTGTGAGGGTCACCAAGCACTGACACAGGTTTTCTGGAGGGATTGTGTAGTCTCCATCCTTTGAGATATTCAGGAGCTTTCTGAACATGGTCCTGGGTACCTTGCTCTAAGTGACCATACTTTGGCAGGTGTTTTGGACAAGATGACCTCCAGAGATCCCTTTCAAACTCAACCATTCTGTCATTAAAATAAAAATTACATTTTGTTATTGCAATCACCTTCCCATTCCCTCTAAAATTTCTCAGGTAAATATATGTATTCCTTACTGTACAAACTAAAGGAATTCATGTAGATCATGAGATTAAATATTTGGGGACATACTTGTTTTGTGTAATACAGAACGGTTCTGAAAATTATTTCTGCTAATTGAAACCTGGGGGAATTACTATTTTATCTATAAGAAGATTCTGCTGTAAGTATTTTATAAAGCTGTTAATATCTTCACATGAGAGGATGTTCTACTGCAGTTTCCTACATGTAAACATCCTTAGCATGAGAAAAGTTCATTTTTACCGTAGCTTATTATTCTACTATATATAGATTTTAATATATTAACCAATGTCATTTTCTGTAATTTGCACATCAGGAGACAGGAAAAATTTTGAAATAGAGTGTAGGAGATTTAAGAAAGTTCCTTTCTGTGTGTGGTGTTGTACAACAATCAGTTCGACACTTCAAACATGTTAGCTCCTGACATCTGACATTTATTTGGCCAATTCTTCACTTTGATATCCAGGAGAAATAGTTACTATAAAGAATTCTGTTTTAAAATCTATTTTGCATATGACTCTTGCTACTAAAATGTTCTTTTTGGCTAAATCAAAGCTTCTTCACTGGCATGCTGAAAGGCAAATCAGCATGTCTCTACCAGATTTCAGCTTGCACCAACTACTTCTGTGCTAAGTCTGTATGCAAAAAGTGACAGTAATATGTATAATGAAGAAAGTGTTTTGTTCAATAACTTTAATTCATTCTGAATTTTTTTGACTCCCTCTTCTCATTTCCACAAAAAAAAAAAAAACAAAACAAAAAACAAAAAAACTTGAACAGGTATCAGCTCTTGCTATTTGGACAAGAGATGGAGAGAGAGTAAGAAAGGATTAGTGAAAGAAATGTTAGGCAGCCTTTACTTTTCCAGAAGTATTTTCACTTAAATATCCGAGAACGAGAAATATGCAATGTCCATGATGCCTCCTTTTTTGAAATGAAGACATTGTTCCATAACTAACTTTTCTTCTCCTTCAGATAGATAGACAACAAAGTCTCCTCAGAATCATAGAATCATGGAGTGGTTTGGGTTGGAAGCGACCTTAAAGATCATCTAGTTCCAAACCAACTGTCTTTGGCAGAGACACCTCTACTTGACTATGTTGCTCAAAGCCCCATCCAACCTGGCCTTGAACACCTCCAGGGACACATCCACAGCTTCTGTGGGAAGCCTGTGCCAGTGCCTACCATGCTCACAGTCAAGAATTTCCTTCTTATATCTAATCTAAATCTACCCTCTTTTATTTTGAAGCTGTTACTCCTTGTTACTATACTTCCTGACAAAAAGTCCCTCCCCAGCTTTCCTGTAGGCCCCCTTTAGGTACTGAAAGGCTGCTATAAGGTCTCTCTGGAGTCTGATCCTTGCCAGGCTGAACAACCACAACTCTCAGCCTGTTTTCAACGGAGAGGTGCTCCAGCTCTCTGAACACCTTTGTCTCTGCTAGGTGGACAATAGTTGTCAAGTCAGGCAACTATTGTACCTTAAATTATATAAAGGAAATGAGCATTTCGTATTCTATTCTAATAACCTATAATAACCATAACCTATTTCAGGTTGTTGCTTATTTTTCAAGTTACTTTACTGTTTTTTTTTTTTTTTTTTTTTTTTTTTTTTTAATAGTTTATCATTTCCACATTTCATAGTATGGTTTTTGTTATGGAAACATTTGCCATTGGCATGAGTCAAGCTTAGTCATAGCCACATGGGCAAAATAAAACTGGCTTATATAGTAGTTGAAAATTTATGTAAAGGTTTTGGAGATAATAAAGATTTTTATGATGTTTGTGGCTGTGCATATGTATGTATGTGCACAGATACATACACACAACTCATGAAGCTGTAATATCAAGATTTTGATCTG